TTGGAAAAACAGACTGAAGTTCCATGAGTCGCCATCGACCAGTTGCTGTCGAGTGGATTGTGACTCATGGAACATGTCTGTTTTTCTCACATTGTAGATACAAATTATTAAGATTCCTATTCGTGGTATTACCCACCTCTCCTGATTGCTTCCAACCCAGTGAAAAGCTCTAATTTGTTGTACCTGCCCCAAACTGGCCAAACACACTCCCAAATCTTAAAAGACCCTCCTACTGAGACACCCAAGGTCACCTCAAGGCATGTGCTTTCTCCCTTTGCAGTAAGTCAGGAGTCTCAACTTTGCCCATAGCAGGTGTGTTCCTGGTGTTCTTTGGCTGATGGGCACTGGCATGAGCAATATTTAGATTTTCACTATTAGCAATGAATAAAAAGTCATTTTAATGGAAAAAGATGGGAGCGATATAGGAATTAAAGAAAAATACACCAGAAAAATGTGAAAAGGTGTATTATTTAGTACTATCACCCCAGAACATAATAAAAATAGGAATAATCACAAGGATGTATAAACAATCCATAATAAGAATAGAATATTTCAAAATACCATCTCAGTTAATGAAACATAAAACATAATAATGACATTTGTAACTATAAAAGATTTTAAAGCCTAGGTAAGATTTTCTAGGAAACATGTACAGAACTATGTCTGACAAAAAAAAAATGCTAAGTTTCTATCACACATAAAAAAACAAAAGGAATTAAACACTGGGTAATCACATATAAAAATGAAAGTAATTAAATATGGTGGATTTATCACTTAGAGATGGCATTCAGTTGTAACAGAAAACTCCCATGATCTGCCAAACAAATTTCAAGTGATTATTTCAAGCATGCAAATGTCAGAAACAATCAGCTCAGGGTCAGTGTAGCCTCTTAACACAGCCATCAGAAAACTATGTTTCCTGCATTTTAGGGAGCAGCATTAAATCTGTCATAGTGGAATCGGGGGACTAGAATGACTACTGCAGGAACTAGGTGCTTACAACAGAGATCACATGACTTCAAAGAGTTGGAGATGAAAGGGTTCAGAGGATAAGAGATCACTCGCTACAACAGCCTGAAGCAATGTGTGCCTGAGCACCAAAGAAGGTCCCTGATGGGGGAACTTCTGGATTAGCCGGCAGAAGCTGCTGCCTAGAACTAAAGTGAAAGATGGGGTGTGTGGTTTGAGCTGTTCTTGAGTGACAAAGCCAGAGCTTAAAATGCTGTAACCTAGGCTACTGGGTTCCTATGTATCTCTCCTGATGGCCCAGCAGAACGGAGAGAAATGGCTTCTTCACTTCTGCCTTCCAACACTCGTGCACCAACCTCTTCTCGTGAACTTAACCTGGAACCATAAACAGAAGGGACTCTGGGAAATGTAGCTCCTAACCTTACCCATGATGACAGTCGTGGTGAAAGGAATTGCTTTATGTGGTCTTTTGCTTTGGTTCTTTGGAAAAACAGCTTGACTTTTTCCCCTAAGCCCTGAGGAGTTACAGTTGCCCGTTTTCTACCCTAGAGGGTGTGTTACTTTTGTCCAGGTTGCACCTTGCAGGGATTGGCCAAAATTATGCACATAAGGTGTTAGAGCCCAGCCTCACCTACTTTTCAAAATGAAGTGTCTGTGGCCTACAGGGATGGGATTGGTTAGCTTGTGGCCCCCCGAGAGGGGCCCTGCCTTAAAATTGACAAGGAGTTGTATATATATTTATAGCCAGCCCCACAGAGGTTTTTACAGAGACAGAAAGCAGAAGAGCAGGAGAAAGAGAAAATGCAGAGAGAGGAGGTAAGGACCCTCCTAAAAGAGCTGTAATACTGGTCAAGGGCTGTAACACTGAAGACAGTAAAAGGCCCAGGAGGGTCCCAGGGGCAGAGGTGGTGGCGACAGATGGCAGGGCCAAGAGGAGCCTGTCTTCAAGGGGCTGAGAGGAAGCCTACATGGTCAAGAGGAGCTGAGAGAGCTGTCCTGCACTAAGAAGTGAGATTGTCTGAATGCTTTCTGATCCTAGTTGTAGCCTGTTGATCCTGACCCCAAGTTATACCCTGTTCCTTAATAAATCACTTAATCGTAAGTATGGTCTGTGAGTCATGTGTGGCCATTACAACTGATTATCGTACCCAGCAAATAGTAGCCTGTGCCATGGGATGGACAGCTGGTGTCAGATTGGTAAGGGTTGGGGAGTGGAGGTATGTCTGACCTTCACTTCATTAGAATCAGCTTTGTGTTGATGGTGATTCTCATCATTCCCCCTTTTGAAGTTAGAAAAGTATTGATGCTATACTACTAGTACTACTATTACCCCCATCCTTTTACAACAGTGAAATTCAATAAAATCACCTGTACCCTAGCTTTCATCTTTATGCTACAAGGTCTCTCTTCTTAACTCAATGCACTGTGTCAGATTTCCAACCAAGGTCACGGACAGTGAGCAAATCTCAAAATATGAACATAAGTCAAAGCTGTCCTCTTTCAATATATTTTTCCAACTTCTAATTTGTTATAAACATAGGGCTTGGTATTGCTAGAAACAAATGTGCAAGACATGTTTTCTAATACTAAAGTATGAAGGGGAAGGTAGATATCCAGTCAGCAAATTCCAGTATCTTCACCAGTAGAAGAGAAAAGAAATTTGAACCAGTCTCCTATCATCATCACTGCATATTAGAAACATAATGGAAACAATTCAAAAACTTTTTATGTAAAATTATACCACGATGTACATTAAAAAAAAAATGAAAACAAAAAATCTCTGGGTCCAAAAAACATTGTAAAGCAAATGAGACATGTTTTCTATAACTGTACAATTAAAGTTTTATATAACTATACACACACACAAGTACAGCTAAAAAGTTACATAAAAAACAAAAACCAAACCAGCTGCCATCAAGGTAATTCCAACTCATAGGGCTCCATGTGTTTCATTGATAGAACTGCATTCTATAGGGTTTTGAATGGCTGATTTTGTGGAAATACATTGTGAAAGTTCTCTTCCAAGATGCCTCTGGATGGATTGGGATGACCAACCTTTCAGTTAATAACCGAGCACCTGCTTAACCGTTTGTCAAACCCAGGGACACAGATGAATATTATCCTAAATATTTAAACTAGAGATCAATACACAAGAGATTCGTATTAAGGATGAGGCACTTACAAAAGCAGTATCATAGCTATAAAAATGTAAAGGATTTTGCTCCTACTCTTGAGTTTTCATATACACAATAAGGGAATTGATATATCTGAAGGTTTTCCCGTATTCTTTACATTTATAAGGGCTTTTTATCCCCCAGTGTTTTCTTGTGTGTAAAACAAGGCTTTCCAGGTGAATGAAGGCTTTCCAACATGCGTTGTGTTCTTAAGGTTTCTCTCCAGTGTGTTTTCTCAGATGTTCTTTAAGAGATTCGGGATACTTGTAGGCTTTCCCACACTGCTTACATTCATAGGGTTTCTCACCAGAGTGCATTCTCATATGTAATCGTAGAGAGTTACGCCAAGGGAAGGCTTTCCCACACTCTTTACACTCAAAGGGTTTCTCGCCAGAGTGCATTCTCATATGTTGTCGAAGGGAGGCAAACCAAGGGAAGGTTTTCCCACATTGTTTACATTCATAGGGTTTCTCTCCAGTGTGTGTACTCATGTGTTGTCGAAGGTTTGCAGACATACTGTAGACTTTTCCACATTCCTTACATTCATAGGGTTTCTCTCCACTGTGCATTTTCACGTGTATTCGAAAGTATTTGGGACAACGGAAACCTTTACCACATTGCTTACACTCATAAGGTTTCTGTTCACTGTGCGTTTTCTCGTGTCCATGAAGGGCAGAGTAACAAGTGAAAGCTTTTCCACACTGCTTACATTTATAGGGTTTCTCTCCAGTGTGTGTTCTCTCATGTTCTTGAAGCGATGAGTAAAAAGTAAAGGCTCTCCAACAATACTTACATTCATAGGGTTTCTCTCCAGTGTGCATTCTCACATGTTCTCGAAAATATGTGGGACAATTGAAGGCTTTCCCACATTCCTTACATTCATAGGGTTTCTCTCCACTGTGCCGTCTTAAATGCAGTTTGAGAGAGGAGGAATGCATAAAGGTTTTCTCACATTGGTTACACTCGTAAGGTTTCTCGTCAGAGTGTGTCTTCATATGTGCTTGTAAGGAGTTGGGCCAATTAAAGGCTTTCCCACATTGTTTACATTCAAAGGGTTTCTCTCCAGTGTGCGTTCTTACATGGCTTTCAAGGTATGAGAGAACCATGAAGCCTTTCCCACATTGCTTACATTCATAGGGTTTCTCTCCACTGTGCATTTTCACATGTTTTTGGAAGTATTTGGGACAAATGAAGACTTTGCCACATTGCTTACATTCATTGGGTTTCTCCCCACTGTGCATTTTTACATGTTGTTGAAAGTATTTGGGACAACTGAAACCTTTGCCACATTGCCTACATTCATAAGTTTTCTGTTCACTGTGTGTTTTCTCATGTCCATGAAGAGAGGAATAATAACTGAAGGCTTTCCCACATTCTTTACATTCATAAGGTTTCTCTCCACTGTGACGTTTTAAATGTAGTTTAAGGGAGGAGAAACGAATAAAGGTTTTCCCACATACTTCACATGCAGCGGTTTTCTGTCCTCTGTGACCGCTCACACGTTCCCTAAAGGAGCAAGTGAAATGATCAGTATGACTACATATTTGCCATTCTCAGTGAATGAGGATGTTTTCTACACTTCCTGCATTGTTTCAAAGTGGAACAACCTGAATACTTGGCTGAGAGCTTGAATAAAGCCATTGCTTTCACACTGTTTCTCACTATGTGGTTTCCTGACTATTGCTTCCAACTGAAATATGTTTCACAGCCTTAATGTCTACCTCACATTTATGAAATATTGTCTTGTGAAAATTCTGAGTACACAATTGTTTAGCTACGTTTATACTTTTTCTTTAATTTCAAGACAGTCTAACATTCTGCAAGGACACTCCTTCCTCTTGAGTAAATGCCACTCACCTCAAATGCTTCTTCTGGATTTGGGGCTGATCTTCAATGTTATGGAGTTTGCCTTTTTTTTCCAGATCAGACGAAGAATCCTTTTGCATAAATTTTTTTCTTTTCTCATCATTGGAGATTTCACTCCCAAATAGATCCTGCTGAGGACTTGATCCAGTGGTTTTAACTTGAATACACCAATCTGTAAAAATTGATAATACAGTAAAATTTCTTGGGAAAACAGGAAAGAAGAACAACCATTTATGGATTTCTTTTCATATACTGATGGAGAATGGTAAACAAATTTTATAAGGGATTATGGACATGTGTGCAAAGGAAGACTCTGAGAACTTTGACAAAAACAGGCAAAATGGGTCAAAATGGCAGCCTATCCACTAAAAAGCCAGTTGCTGTGGAGCCATCCACATTGTGTTACAGTAGAACTGTGATCCACAGGGTTTTCAATGGCTGATTTTTTGGAAGTAAACCACCAGGACGTTCCTCCAAGGCACCTCTGGGTAGACTCAAACATCCAATCTTAGCAGGCAAGTGTGTTAACAGTTTGTGTTGCCCAAGGACTCCATCTAATAGGGAATATTATACTTCAAAAAAGATGGAGACTGGTATTGATATAAAGAGGATATCATCGAAGAGCAAAGTGGGAGGAAATGAGCAAAATGCGCGTGCTCAAATCCTACCTTTAAAGAGGAAATAGGAAAAGTCCCTGAGAAGAAGGAAAGCATGAGAATAGATGAAAAGTGAAAGAAGGAAGACAGATAATATACAATATACTTTCTACTGGACATCTTTGGGAACACTTATCCCCAAAATTAACTTCATCCTTGGGAGACTATTTTGTCCTGTAAGCCTTCATCTTAAGTGAGAATAACAGCA